CCAGTTTGGTTTGGAATACATAAGACACATCCTCTTTATGGTGTGGTGTTTAGTCTAACACGAATTCAGCCTTACACCCCTACGAGAGGTGTAGAACCTCCCTCACGCCCTTCTCTAAATCGAGAGTAGATTGTAGCAGGAACCCTGGGGCGACGTTTCGTTTTCCCTTTTGCCCCCCGCCCTCCCCCAAACCAAACCCAGCTCCCAACCAACCGTTCCACTGTGCTTGTCGGTCTTTCGCTCACACCAAAACCTGGGGGTGACCTGCAAGGGAGAGGTAGGACGTGGTACCTGAACGCCGACCGTGCAAAAACCGATCTTTGACCGTACTGAAAATTTGCGTATTGCATTCAAAAGCTCTAGTCGTTTTTTGAACCACGAAAAATATCGAACCTACATAGGGTCGATCGCAGGTTCGGCGTTCAGGCGACGTGTCCTGAAGGTTATAGGGAAACCCAGAAAGAGTTGTTCTCAGTTAGCCGCAGAACAGCGTGTCAAGTTATGTCCAGCGTGGCAACAAGTTACGGTTTGCACTAAATAAACCATAATTGTCATTTTGAGCGAACGCACAACCACGTCCGCCGGTTTCGGTCCAGCGAGCAGGTTACTACGTACAGTAGTACAACCTGAGTTTCGCCTAGTGCCGCCTTTTTTTTGCTATGAGGTATCGCTCGTCTCCTAGTACTACTAGTACTAGGGTAACGGAACGCCTCCCTTTGGCGTCAGGGACACCGAGTTCTGCGGACACACATAGCAAAGATAGATTCGGAGCATCATCGCATCCCTGCCATGTGGCCGTCTGACATCGTCGCAAGGAATGATCCCAGTGCATGGTGGCTGCGCTGTTTCTGCACTGCCTGCCAATCGTTGTGAGTTCCGGCCGTCTGTCGCGCCTAACAGCGAATAGGAAGCGGCCGCAGTGCATCCGTCTCGTGCCGTAGAGTCACCAACCTGACTGAAAGACGTAGTGTAGTAACCGCTCAGCCCAAACAGTTACCCTTCCTTGCTGAGGTGGTATCAGATGATCGCCAGAGACTCTGACCTGAACGATACATGTTCGAGGCTGCTTCCCCCGGGGGAATGCCGTTTTTGTAGTAGAGACTTTAATTTTCCACAATTTCCCCTACCCGCGACTCCCTGCAATATATGCTACCCTCTCCCCACCCTGCTTGTGGAATGACACGACGATAAATGTTCAGAAGCCTTCCTTTCTGTTCGTTTTTTGTTCGGGAAGCCAGAACTCGTTTCGGGCAGAACATTTCGCACATGATGTAGTAGGTACATGCAGGTCTCCCCTTCTATCATCCCTCCTTGTTGGCAGCAAGGAGTTGGCAGGCAGCCATTGAAGCTTGCCTGAGGCCCCGTTTGAGGACAGAAAGAAAGAAAGAAAGAAAGAAAGAAAACAGCTTAACTTCAACTTGTTGGGATGAAGCGCTTCTAGAAGCAGTGTTGCCGCTCTACCGAGTATTGACAACTTCTGACGACTGTCAAGTGGACGAGTTCCACTCGGGACGACTGGCGGACTGACTGCCAGTGCGAGACAAGCTTCGTCTCTCTGTCCGTATTATGTGGAGAGGTTTGTCTCTCTCTATCACTTGGGGAGGGGAGGGTTTGTCTTGTACAGTCTCCATCATGTGGAGGAAGGAGCAAGGAGGAAGGGGGTGGGGAAATTCGTCCTGAACCGTCTGAAGAGTGTTTCTTTGGCAGAGAACACTCACATGCCGCTCCCGCCCGCCCACAATACTGTACTTGAGAAAGCGTAGTACACATGAGGGAACAAACGCACGTCCTCTCGCATCATGCTGAGGGTTCCCCCCCAGCGGGATGGGGCAGCATGTGAATTGTTCTACTCAGCAAAGCCACAGCCTTTCCACAGGCGGTGGCAAGGTGGGACGGATGGATGGAGGATGAGGTGGAATCCTCTACGGTACGGAAGTCAGGGGTGGCAGCGGTACCCCTGGCTTGGAAGGGTTCCTTCCTTCCGTCTCTTCTTTATAGGTTCCTCCCTCACTCTGGGATGCCTCAACGGCTTCATTTCTGGAAAGAGGCTTGCGGCTGCTGGAGCGAGTCTCGCTGCTGTTGCTGCTGCTGCTGCTCCTGCTGCTGCTGGTGGTATTGTGGCTTCATCGTTGCCGTGGCTTCCTGCAGTGCTTGCTTTCTTCAAGCATTTTTCCGTCCAGACCTCTTCAAGCCTCAGCGACAGCTCACACCTGCACACATACTATTACCGCAGAGCCGGGCAGACAGTGTGTGTTGACAGCGAAGACCACACCACTCTTAACCAAGCCACAGGACGGTCACACCTGCGCACAAACCAACATGTGCAGCATTGGCAGCGCTGACTGCTCGCACGCTGGCTGAGTGTGCTACCAGCGAACAGCTCTCATCTCAACCGTGGATTTGAGAGCACCTCTTCGCTGGGATCGTCCATGTCGGCCGCTAAGTGCCACAGCAGCCGCATGGGAACCTGCATTCCGCTCCAGGTAGCTCCAGTGGCCGTGGAAGGGACTTCAGTCAGAAAGACTTCAGTGGACTCGTCCGACTCCCACAGCAGCCGCTCAAAAACCTGCACTGGGCTCCGAGGAGCTCCAGTGGCTGTGGAAGGGACTAAAGTGAGAGAAATTAATGACACACGATCGGCTGACTCGCCTGTCTCCCTCCGCGGCCGCATGAAGGCGTGCATTGCGCTCCAGCGGCCCTCAGTGGGCGTGGGAGGGACCCGAGTGAGAGAGACTCCAGTGAGAGAGACTCCAGTGAGAGAGACTCCAGTGAGAGAGACTCCACTGAGAGAGACTCCAGTGAGAGAGACTCCAGTGAGAGAGACTCCAGTGAGAGAGACTCCAGTGAGAGAGCTCCACGTCACGCGATCAGGGGACTCGCCCGGCTCCCGCATTGCATGGCTTGAGCGCCACAGGCAGCATACGGCGTGGCTTGCGCGGCACCGCATGCTGAGAACTGAGGTGCTGCGGAAACGACCCGCTAGCATGCTGTGGCATGGAGTGGGTAAGAAGGGACGCGGCTGGGGCTGGGGTAGATTGCCTCACTTCAATGCTGCTGCTATTGCTGCCTCTGCTCCTACTGCTGCCGCTGCTACCTCAACTGTTGCTGCGACTGCTGCTGGTGCTGCTCCTATGGCTGCCGCTGGCACCGCCGCTGCTACTGCCGCCGATACTGCTGCTCCTGCTGTTCCTGTTGCTGCTGCTGCCACCGCCGTTACTTTTGCTGCTGCCGCTCCTGTTGTGAACAATGCTGGTGCTGTTGCCGCAGCTGGTACCATTGCCAGCACTAATGTTGCCTTGACTTCACTTTCTGCTAGCTCTAGCACATCAGCTGCTGCCGCCGCCGCCGCCACCGCTGTTACTGCTGCTGCCGCCGCCGCTGCTGCTGCTGTCGCCCCTGCTACTGCTGTCGCCGCCGCTGCAGCGGCTGTAGAGGATGCCGATTCGTTGGTGGAAGGAAAATGCAGCTGTCACGTGGCTGACAATGCACCACTAAACACTGCTCTTATGACTGGGATATCTCCAGCTACAAGTGACGTCACTTCTCCCAGCACGCTGGTAAACGCTCCAAGCTGGCACGCGTGGCAGAATGGTGGAGCGAGTCAGCATGGCGAGACAGGCTGTGCCACATGGCAGCCTGCCATTCGTTGCCTATCTGCTGCTGTCTTCCCCACCAACTTCGCCCCTAGAGCTGGAACCAAAGGCTCCCCTCCCAACCACACACGCATGCAGCAGGCTCGCTTGGCCACCACCATTTCAAGCAAAGCACCCCGGAATGAGGCCCATAATAACGCCTCAATGCCCCAGCAATGTACTTTCTCTTCCTCCATGGTTTCCCCTCGAGCCGAGTTCCAGGATTCCACTTCTCCCTGCGCGCGCGTGGTGCCAGTACTTCCCTCTCAGAGCCGAGAGCGAGCTGAGGTCTCCAATAACGTCTCAGTGCCCCAGCAGTATGCCGCCTTCACCTCTAGCGCTGCCCCTGAAGCTGGAACCAAAGGACCTGTTCTTTCTACAGGCAGTCATCACGACCAAGCATACCTTGTCCGCCTGGAAACCCACACGAAGCTCAAGCCCGGAATGGGCCGGCAGCAGTGCTGCTTCCGCCAGTGGAGCAGCAGCAATCCGTTTATCATTCCAGCACAGTTGTCTTCCCTGTGGCGTTTGCGCAGCCCACGGAGTGGTGCGCCTTTTCTTCGTTCACGCGCCTCTTGAGTTCCATCTCGCCCTCCTGGCAGCAGGAATGCCCAGCCCCAGGAGCTTTGGGTGAGGCTAGAAAGGCACCTTTGAATGTGCAGCTGCACCAGCAGCAGCTTCAGCTACAGCCACTGCCACAGCCACAGCTACAGCAGCAGCTTCAGCTTCTTCTTCTTCTTCAGCAGCAGCAGCAGCAGAGAGATTCTGAGGCTCATATTGATGCCGCTGCATGGGAGACGGATTGCATTACAGGCAGTGCCGCTGCTGGTTCCAGTGAGCCCTGTGTGCTGCATTCCTTGTCAGCGCGCTCGCATTGCACAAAGCAGAAAACGGAGACCGGACAGGCGGGCCAGGAGAGGCGGGAGAGGCAGGAGAGGAATGAGAGGGAAGACAGCAAAGACCCTGAGAGGTTGGCTGAGAGGTGGCGTCTGATTGAGACGCAAAGCAGTAGCTGCAATCTGTCGTATGAATGGTCAAGCTCTGAAGAGTGCGACGAAGGGGAGCTGCTAGACACTGCGTCCTCGTTGTTGTACTTTCATGGAACATTGCAGACGTAACAGTGCCGTCAACCCACCGTACTTGCTGTCCTGCTACTGCTAAGTGTAGGGCTGCCTATAAGTATCCTCACCCAGCTTTAGTATGTGCCCTCCTTTGCCATGGAATTCCTTGATATCTATGTGGGTCTTTACTATTATCTAAATTTCTAAATGCTAATACCCTGCCTATAAGGATATAAGTATCTATTCATCCTCACATGGGTCTTGGGTCTTTCACATAAAACAAAGACAATCACACTGCATACCCCATCTATGCACTGCCTGGCAGACCTCTAAGCTCCCAAATCTTCACCATCTCATCATCTCCCCCTGATGCCAGCAGGCGAGGATTCTGCCATACGGGGAGGGATTGTAGGGGAGAAAATAGCGTGTAAGTTAGTTTGCATGTGAAAGAAATAACTTTTTACTTCTCTTTTTTTGGAACTTATTGCATGTGTGACGTACGGAGTGGACAGAACAGTGGTGGACAAAAGAAGTGGGCTGGGCGAAAGCACCATGGTAGTTGGGATGGGCATCTGTGCCATCACCTTGGGGTTCCATCTCACGCAGTTCACATCTGTGCCATGTGCATGCGCCTTTCGGATCAGCAGCTGGGCCCTGCTTCCTGCCTCTTCTCCCAACCCTGCTGTCCCTAGCACCCCTGCAACCCCTGCCTCCCCTGCCTCCTCGCCACTCCCCTCTCTGTTGGCAGCATCGGAGGTGGTTCTGTCACCATCGGGCTCTGAGCGAGGGAGACCTGAGAAAGAAAAGACTCGTATGCAGTCATCTCCTGCTGCTGTGGCAATCAACCCATGAACCCTGCGGAAATAATGAGGGTGAACAGGAAAAGGTACACCATATACAGCTACAAGATTCAAATAGAAGACATGCGGATGCAAAGCACTTTTTGCGCCGTGAAAAAAACACGAGACATGCAGCGACTGCAATATGCTTGCAGCACAAGCCACCCTCCAGCAGCAGGATGTGAGGGGGAGTACAAGTGTCCGATGTAAAGGGCTTACATCGACCAGTCAACATGGAAGATGGTGCGGTCGTGGAAGCCCGAAAGTGTACACACATGCGACCTGACAAGCCAAGAAACACATGGAAGTGACGTTTCAAGTCGGCGATGATGGGCGAAAAAGGCAGGGGCGACAGAAAACAAAAGAAAAACCGTTTGTGCGGACAGACCAATGCCATGACGTCAGATACCGTTAAAACCATCAAGTATAGCACAGTTGGTCTGCATGGATGTGCTTTGAGATTGTGCCTCCAAACGTACCATCCCTTTGCTGAAGGCTTGCTCCCTGAACTCCCTTCTGAGGTCCGCACATCAGATGGCTCCCGGCTTGTATCCCAGATTTTGACGGTCAGATCGTCACTGCAGGGTGGTAAGACGGGGCCAGAACACAGATACGCATGGGAGGTTGGAAGGGAGAGTGATGGGAAGCCATGCGTGAACGGGCCGAGTAGTAAGCAAGCGCGGTGCAAGGGGAAGAATTCAGGACGAGGAGCACACGGGAAGGAATTCAGGGCAGGGAGCGAATGGGATGGGGAAGAAGGATGGGTGAGGGAGGACGGATAATTAAAAACAAAACCGGAAGGGAGGGAGAGTATCGAATAGCTGGGTACCTGCAGGATGCCATGTAGTGTCCTGTAGCATCAAAGGAGATAGCCCAGACTGTGGACGAGTGCCCTGCCCTGGACACAGAAACACGAAGGTGATACTTTCAAAGAGACAATGTCAAGGAGATTGAGAAAACAACCAAGCCCTTTCCATCGGGAAGTCATTGCTGTAGCTGCTGAAAATAGCATATTCTTATGCCCACCCATTTGCAGCATCAAGCGTCTGCACGCATGACCAATCGTCTTCACCCTCCACCTCTGCAGCCCAGACCTGCCACAATAAACGCAACATGAACAAGCAATGAGCACGCGCAACAACATGAATATCTCAAATGGCAGCAATTTTTAGGAAGACACGAATACTTCCCAGCATCAGGCCCACTCTTCAGTGAACTCAATTCAATCATGGTTGCAACCCTTTTTCACCTTGATGCTGTCATCATAGCTGGCAGACACGAGCCAGTCATGCGTGGGGTGCCAGCGCACCATCTTCACGTCCTGTGTGTGCCCATGCAGCACTGCCACACAGTCAAAGTCAGTCGCCGGGCCCACACCGATCCGTCCAGCCACTCCGCTGCTGCCACCTGGCACCTCCCAGATCCACACGCTCTTGTCCCGGCTGCAGGTGGCTAGCAGGGAGCTGGTGGCGTTCCATGCCACGGACTTCACCTCACTCTCGTGGCCCTATGATCATGGTTGGGTAGGGGGAAGGCGGGATTGTGAGGAAGGATGAAAACTGGAAGCCAGGAGAAAGGGGGTTGTGATTGTCAGAGGTGTTGAATGCGAATCGATTGACCATGCAAGGGAAATGAGAGGACAAGAGGAGTGGGAGAAGGGGCTTAATCTAAGAACAAGGTCGTCAGAAAAGGCGTGGATGGTTAAGGATTTGCGCTACTAGTAACGTCGAAAAAGAATAGAAAAAGAACGTGGCGTATCCGGATACCTTCCAGCCTTCGGGGAGCACCGGGCGTCCCTCTGGATATTAGAACATCTGAACATACGCATGCAGGAAAAAGGAGAAGGACAACGAGCTGACCTCGAGAACAGCGAGACACTCAAAGTCAGCATCGTTGGACCCAGTCCTTTCCCAAACAGCCACCGTGTTGTCGAAGCTGGCTGTTGCGAGGAACCTTCCGTCTGGTGACCACTCGCAGGATCTAATGGTCCTGGAGTGCGTGTCTTCCAAAATGGCCTGTGAAAAAAAAAAAAAAAAAAAAAAAAAAAAAAAAAAAAAAAAACGAACACGAATCGGTCCTGAGAAAGCTGCTGATTCCTCGTAGTAAATTTCCCAACATCGCTCGACAGATGCTGGGGCGAATATTGAGCAAGAGAGAGTAAAGACCCGGCTCCGGGATTTTTACGACCTTGCAAATGAATGAGGACGACGGTCCGGCTTCTCGACCCCAAATACGGACACAACGGTCGCCGCTGCAGGAAGCCAGAAGAGCTCCGTCTGGCGACCATGAGACGCTCCACACGCGATCGTCATGCCCGCGAAGCTCCTGAACCTCGACTAATTCAGAAACATCGCATGACTTCGAAACCGCTGAATCGGGTGGGGCATTAGGCACCATAGCAGGGGGCTGAAGGGAGGCAATTGCCGCCATTACTCCCATCACTAGGAAAAACACGGAATTTGGATGATATCAGCTGGTAAAATTGTCCTCAGACTAGAAGTAGCCCAACAATGTTACGTGCCGAGTTTTACACCCACAAATGTTGGGAGCGACTGGTTTGCAGTACGTAAGAGGTTTCCCCACCACCTCGTCCAAAACGCCTTTAAAGCAAGTGATAAACCTTTGCCTCCACGCCCCCCAAAGTGCACCCCTGCTTTAAAACCCGTGGGTCAAGAAGGGCGAAATTGGTCCAGTAGGTATGAGTGAATGTTTGGAGCGAAAGGTGGAGCAAACCCTGTCCAAGTTCATGAATTCCGAAATTCGGGTCTTCTGAGTTTTTCATTTGCTGGATTTCGAGAGGTAAAGGTAAGGTTAAGGAGGGGGGGAAACCCCTCTGAGTGTTACCCACACCTGGCTGTCAGTCGTATCCCGCCTCCCCAATCGTTTAAACTCGCTGGGTCAACGAGATTGAGGTGTATCCACTCCCAAAGTGAGCACGTGCAAACCCCCTTCTGGGAGGCTGACAGAACTCGTCCGCACGGGGTATTGCTCCTGGGACCTCACCCATCGAAAGTGACACAGCTAACCAACTGGGCCACTTCAGGGTTGCTGTATTTTCGAGAGTGTTCTCTCGTGTTTGAGTGAAGTTACGGAGATACACATTTCTTCACAAGCAGTGAGACACAGCTAGCTTCTGCTCCTGACGTTGGCAGTGTGTTCGATCGTCATGTATCTGTTGAAACCCTCAAGAAAACCGCCGTCAGTTGAGGTCTGTCTTGTCCTTTCGGAAGCTATATTTTTACAGATTCACAAGAACTGACATTTCCAGCCATTTTTTATGAGCAGGAAGTTATGGCTTTCATGAAACAGTCCCGACGAAAGGTAGGATACCGTGAGCATTTTCACAAGATGTTCTGCTACGCTCGTGCGGTAACCTAGCATTTTCATTTCAGGGTTCCCGTCGTGGAAGCCTGAATGCGTCTTTGCACGGCGGCGTCGGAAGCTCTTGTCAGAAGTTTCTGGAAACGAAAATACCAGACGTTGCATCCTCTTGTCAGAAGTTTCTGGAAACAAAAATACCAGACGTTGCATCAGATTCTAATGAGCGTAACTTGTGCGAGAGTTTCTTTGTTGATAAGCCAGCGCCGGCGCCAACCAAACAAGCTGATTTCTCAAGCTTACGCACCAGAGCCGCTGAAGCTGCCGCGTGGGGGGTGGATATGAAGTACATTTCGGACTTGTTACCAAGTTCGTTCGAGTTGCTCTCTGGAGCTAACGAACCGGTTGCGTCGCCACCTTACTTTTCGGAGCGTGGAAGTTCGAGCTCTTCGTCTTTGGATGGTAATGTCAGAAGAAGCAGGCGCCCAATATTGGAAGCGATATGTCCAGGCGCTGCATTGAAGATCGACGAGAGTGGCCTCTCGACTTTTGAAGAGAGTGTCTCTGTGGCACTCCCTGTTATGAACACATCGTCAACATTTGAGAGATGTAGTCCTGGTCATTCCTTGTTCACAAATCCTACTGACGGCGTGCGGAAAAGGGAAGAGAGCTTTTCTAACTTACTTTCGAGCTCCTCTGAGCTGCTCTCTGGTGCAGCAAATTCGGGCTCACCACCGCCTTACATCCCTGCTAAAGTGAACGCGATTTCTTCTCCAAATACTGAAAAGGTTGGGTCAGGGCAAGCATTCATCCCACAACAGTGCGGATCGGAGCTTGATTTTACTCCAGTTTGTAAACAGAGTTCAGGGCTTAATGAGTGGGAAGCACCCCCTTATTCATCGCCACAGAAGATCATTGAAGAATTGTTCAGTGACCTGCCAGCAAAGCCTTTGGAGTGTGGTGGCTGCATGAATGCAGACCTGGGAGCACACAGAAGCGTTCCTTGTGGCGAGTGGGGAAGTTTGAATAGCACAGCACCTCTTGTTGTCTCCCTGCTGTTCTTTGATGATGAGCGGAGTCAGCTTTATGTCTCAATTGATTTGCAACTTCCTTCCAAGGTGCGTTCACACGAGCAAACATTTCTTGCTCACCTAAATGACTCCCCTCACATTTTGAGTAGCTGTGCAGAAACGGGATTGGGCAGCAAATGGCATGTATTTTTCATCAATTGAAGACCTCAGCATCATTGGAGTTGTAGTTCATCAGATCGGTCAACCCAAGTTGAGAGTCATTCTATTACCAGGAGTACAATTTGATGTTCTCCCCACCACCAACGTAACTCATGAGGAGTTCAGGTAACGTGTCGATTGAAGGCTGAGATTGTCCTTGCTGCACGAACTGAAAACAACATATATGCTTTCAGAGAAGCGATTCGGGCAGCTTTAGTTTCTGCAGATGCTATCATCTGTTGTGACTCACAAAGATTCGTCAGATCTCTTTTGCAGTGGAAAGTGCCTGGTGAGCTCGTCACTTTATTCATTAAACACACAGATAGCATTATCTTTGCATACACACAGGAGGCACATGACTATGTTTTTTTCTTTTTGCAGTGACGGATCTGTATGACATGTTTATTGACCCAAAAGTGAGTAAGACTCCTGTATGGTGACACTTATTATGCTCTTACGGGGCACTAACATCCACGAAATGATGCATGTCTGTCTGGCATCAAATTGCTTGAGAGAAGATTCTTGCGTGGTAAGGTTTCCAGCAATGTCTAACCCCCTTCTTTCTGTAAGACTCTGTATTGAATATAATCAACAAGGTGTTCTTTGCTATTCAGGCAACTAGGTGAAAATCTGGAGCAGTTGATTGGAAAGGCGAAAGAAGAAACTAAGGGGAAAGATGTCCTGGAAACAAATGCTCGAGGAAGTCTTCATCTTCGGAGTGTTCACACCAGCCTCAACATCTGCAACGATGTTCATGCGGCATTGGTGGCAAGGGCAAATGGACTACTTCGTGATGCATTCAGGTATGACTCACAAGTGCATTCAGTTATTTCTTGTCCTTACCCTGCTATCATACCATTGGGTACTGCAGGGTCAACATGAGGCTTCTTCCTGTTCTCGCGCAAATGGAGATTGCTGGCGTTCGGGTTGATGTAAGCGCATGACTCATTCTATTCAAGATGTGCCATTTGCATCTGTAGCCTAACATGGAGTCGTTGTCACTCAGATGGACTTACTAATGTCAAAACGGGACTATCTGGAGGTATGACACATAAATATGAGACTGTTACATCGTTTGTGACCAGTTACTAATAATACATACGGTGTGCTTGCTAAAGAAACGGATGGAGCATCTTACGTCGATTGGGGAGAAGTTGGTTGGCCGTCGCGTCAACTTGGCTAGTCCAAAGCAAGTGGCCCAAGCCCTTGATGAGGTATGAGGTGCATTTGGGTACAGTTGAAGTATGGTATCCTGGTCAGAATTTCAACTCATGAGAACTGCAGGACTTGAAGTTGCCAGTAGGAGCAGCTAAGAGTGTTGGTATGGCCAAGAAGCGAGAGGCACAGACCCACTCAACTACAAATGAGGCAACACTAAGTCAACTCGCTGCACTTCATCAGTTTCCTAATATTGTTTTAGAGGTAAGTTTCTTCTACACTGAAGAAGCAACATTGTCCAAAAGCCCAGGGCGATTGTGCCTAACGTTTGTGTGGGTTCCAGTTCAGGCAACTTTTGAAGGTCAAGTCGACCTGGATTGATGGTCTTCTATCAAGTTCCTACAGCGAAACGGTATTCCCTTCACTCTTGCATGTGATGCGGCTTGAACAGGTTACTCAGTTTTGTTGTGTGCTCAGGATGGTTGTGCTAGGATTCACTCGGAGTGGAATGCTGCTAACACGGCAACAGGACGATTGTCATCTTCCAGCCCTAATTTACAGGTTTGATTCACACATAACCAGCAACACTGATTGTTTGTTTCACGAATTAACATTGCTACTTGAACAGAACCTGCCAACATACGCCCTAGAAGGGACATCCGCAGCGACAAACACTTTAACCGTTGCTATCGCCATTCGTGATGCTCTTATGTCTGCACCAGGGTTGGTTGCACTGTTACTCTTCTTGTATTTCTTGCCTCAACTGCATATCTCCTCACCTTGTCCCTGCTATACTTGTAGTTCACCATCACCCTTAACACTTTGGTGGTTTCTTTGAATGAAGGAGTACCACAATTGGTCTTGAAGCGTTGTCTGCTTGTCATGCAGGAAGGTACTGGTTTCTGCTGATTATTCACAAATAGAGCTTCGAATTTTTGCTCACTTATCTGCTGATGAGGCTCTGGTATGGTTCTCCCTCCTTTCACTCACTCTCTGCATTTTCCGTAGAGTCCTGCTCCAAATAGCTTGATGATGTGCATGTCTTGAGCAGGTTAATGTCTTTAAAGCTGGACAACAGAGTGATGTTTTCAGACTCATTGGAGCAGCCTATCTTGGAAAGTCTGCAGATGCTGTAAATGATCAGGAGCGGCAACTGGTCAAGAGATTATGCTGTGAGTGAGGCGGTTTATTGATTTTCCTCTTTTTTCTTATTTTCGTGTTAACAGTGCGAAATTAATGCTGCAGATGGTATTCTTTATGGGCAAGGGAAGCAAGCCATGGCCGCAATTCTGGGAGTGGATGTCGACAAGGCTCAACAACTTTTGCAAAGCTTTTTAGATCACTTCCCGAGTATGAGGGCTTTCATCAATCAGACTATCAGCAGAGCCCGACGGGATGGATATGTCACAACTATGTGGGGCCACCGCAGGCTACTTCCAGGTACTGTAGTTCATGGTCCGCTGTTCTTTCGCGACCATTCTCAAACTTGCATCTTTACTGTGTTGGTGTTTCAGATATTCATGAGCGTAATCCAGAGAGGAGAGCCCAAGCAGAAAGGCAGGCAGTGAATACTATCATACAAGGTTCCGCAGCGTAAGTACCATCTTTCTTCAATGTATCACACTTGTTTGAACATCTTGCTTGACCACTTCCCCTTACCCTGGACTGCTTCTACTGTTGTTGGGCAGGGACCTGATGAAGTTGGCCATGCTGGATGCCAGCAAGCTTTTTCAGGGTAACAGCGGAGATATTCAAATCGTGATGCAGGTAAATAAAGTTCTGCTGCCTGTTTGCAAGGTCAGTGATTCATTCTTATGCTATGTATCCCCCAGGTTCATGACGAACTAGTGCTAGAAGTCCCGGAAAAGGATGTATTTACAGTCTCTAAGGTGGTGAAGCTGATGATGGAGAAGGTTGCATGCTTGGATGTCCCGCTGGTAGTGAATGTCAGGGCAGGGAATCGCTTCGGTAGTTTGCGCGCCATGGAAGAGTGGTCGTCATATTCTGTAGACATCCAGAAGTTGAAAACGGTTAGTGGTTTTTAATCGTATTATGTAGTTGCCATTATACATTCATTTCTCTAGTGGGTGCCCACTTTTGGTGCACAAGACCTCACACATTGGTCTTCAGAATTGAACATTTTCAAAGGATATATATCTTTTTATGGTATAGTCTTTCAGTGTTCTCCTAGAGTAATGGATGTTTGGGTGTTTGGGCTGGGGAAAATATGTCAATGGTAACTTTTATGGGGCGCTAAAATGCGTACGGCAACCATTAGCTGTTGTTTTAACGCGTTTGGTAACTCGCTTAACACGTTTGGTAACTATACGCTACCACCCGATCACGCGAATGGTAACTAGAAGAAACCCTCGCCCAAAATGATATCGATTCTGGTTTTTCCCGCCCGCGCAAGACTAAATCGACGAAACGTGACACGTCACCCTTGGTCTTGATTGGACAAGCCACCTCACCTTGGGGATGTTGTGGAATTCGGGAGACTGCCTACCCATTGCCCAGGTCGACTAGCACCGTACCAAACTGGCTCCACGTTAGCTGCGTACTACTGTAGTTGTCGGCCTAAACGCGCACCACCAGAGATCCGTTTCCTTCTGGTTCGCGTTTACAGGGGCTGCGCGGCTTTGGGGGGTAACCGAACCCACGCATCAACTTTCGTTCTGCGGGCTCGTCAAACTGGATGCAGATGTCGGTCAGGCCTCAAGTTATTCGCGTTCCATGAACCTCCAACCACTCATGAGCCTTCCCTCCCGATTTTGGGCATCAAAAACTTCCACAAATCGCGTTCCAAGAGCTAACCGATTTTCGTGACCAATGAGGCTTGCAGGATTATTCGCTGCCCCAAATCGCGTGTTTGCTCTGCGCGTTCCGTTAGTGACAGTAGCAGCTGCTGCTGCTGATTCGCCGCACCGTCATCACCGGCCTCCCGCCATCGGCGCTGTGCGTTTCGTCCATTCCGCTCCCATCCCATCCGACCCCTCCTGCAGTCAGAACAAAACGGGGCGAAAACAAAGAAACGCGTTCCCTTTCGTTTGACATTATTTTGCAACCAAGCACCGAAACTGACGCTGAGTTGGGAGGTCAAGCGATTCACGAAGTTTCTCAAGCCCAATCCACAAATGCCATTCAGGTTCAATTGTGGCCTGCTACTATTCTGCACAGGCCAATCTCCATTTTTCGCTACGCATAGAGCGGACTCACGACGAGCCACTCACAATGGGCTGCAAACGAGCGTCACTCGTTCATCCTGAGGAATTGGCAGCAACGAAGCGAGCGCGAAACGGAAAGGCCACTTCTCCTACACCTACCCATCCTTCATTGGAAAACCTTCCGGTGGGTTTCCCTGTAGACCCTCCTCACCGCTTTCGTCTCGTCCAGCGCTCTTCTTTCTGCATGTGTCTGTATTCTTTCTTCCAAGCAAATGTCAATATCTCTGCATTCATTCATGCTCACCCCCTTCTACCCACATCTGTCCTTTGCTTCTTTCCCCGATCAGGATGAACTCCTAACGACCATTCTCTCAGTGGTCGCTGAACGTGCCTCAACTCCCCAAGACTTTCTCTCCTGTCGCCTCGCTTCGTCCTACCTTCGCCGCATCTCGCTCCTCCCGGAAATCCTCGCCGTGTTACCACCTCCCGCTCTAGCTTGTCCAGCGAAAAACTACACGCTCGCCTATCGCTCGTTCCTCTCAGCATGCGCAGCGGCGGGAAACGCGGAGGCTGCGTTTCTCCTCGGCATGGTTGAGTTTTATTGCTTGGAGCGAGTGGCGAGCGGCATGAAGCGGCTTGTGCAGGCAGCAAAGACAGGCCACGCAGCCGCGTTACACAGCCTGTCAGTCATCCATTTCAACGGTAGCGGATTGCCTGCAAGCGGAGCGGAGGGAAGTGGTGCAGCGGAGGGAGGTGGCGCAGCGGAGGGGGACTCAGGAAGGCGGAAGCCGCGGGGGAACCGGAAGGTCGGGATGGGGATGTTGCTGTGTGTGGCGGCGGCTAAAGCGGGTCACCCAGATGCGCTGCGGGAATTAGGGCTGTGTTTGCAGGATGGATTTGGAATCAAGCGGAGTGTCGCCCAGGGGAGGCTGCTTCTGGTGGAGGCGAACCTGCGGGAGCTGGCTAATAGCGGGGATAAAATGGCGGCAGCAATGGGTGGGGTCTCATGTTCCGGGATTGTGAGAAAGAAACAGGAGCGAACTCTACTAGAGAACAATACTCAAGTCCCAGTTGGCGATAGGGACTCTGATTGTGGAGAAGCAGAAGTAGCAAGAACGCTGGGAAGTTCTAACCTTCAAGGATGCGCTAAGCACCAAGGCGCGAACCTGTCACTCGGAACAGATGCAGCAGCCATGGAAACCCTACTTCAGCATACCTCTTGCCTGCTGTCAAAAGCTGGCCGTGCGACTGCAAGACGTGTGACTGTAGCGGAAGGAGAGAAGCAGGAGGCGCTGGGAATTACTGATGAGGAGAGGCTGCTAGCTCGAGCCGTCTTGGCAGATGGCGGAATCTTCGGCTGCTGCACGCGCGAAGAGAAAAGCGTCTCGTTGGAGCCTCCGCCGATTCCGCCTGCAAATCAGTTTCTCGTGGAATGGATGGCATTGCATGGACAGCGGTTTCAAGACAGCGGGAGGCATGTGTGCGGTAACGCACGGTGTGGAAGGGTTGAATTGCGAAAAGGAGAGTTTCGCTGCTGTGCTGCGTGCGAGGAAGCACGCTACTGCTCGCGCGCCTGCCAAGTGGTGGACTGGCGGGTCAGACATGTGGCTACCTGCCAGCCGTGCAGTAGAGATTAGACGAAGAGATTTGATAAACCGACTAACATTACCTTAGGTAGACGTCATACTAACCTGCTGTTTAGTCCAACAGCCTAGCACACATGAGGTTCTAAATTATGCTTTAGCTTCAGTGTGGCCTATGTGTATGTCGCATTGTGGTTCTGTGAGTTTCTTAGCGTTCTAATGCAATTTATTGCGAATGTAAAACGGCTGAGTGTGGTTTGAATGTACCCAACCCCAGCAAATCCTTGGTTACCAGACAAGTGGCCCGATTTCGGATTCCTCCAAGTAGACACGACAGCCCGAGTGAAGGCTACTTCGGCAATCTTCGGCAATAGCAACGACACTAAGTCCTTATCTTCCGAAGTGCGTCGCTCACTGTCCCCATGTCTCACGGTAAGCGATAGTGGCTCGCGTCAGCTTGTTTACTTCCTCCTGGCAGTTCCGCTAGCCAAGCTGTGATCAAATTTCGCTCTCATAGCTTACTTCTCACAACGCTGACGCATCGCGGAACATTCGTAACTCCCTTTTCAATGTCCCTCTTTCCCTAACGTCCAGATCCAAGGTACCCTTACGGATATCCACCTCCAGCCGGCTACCCATCACCAGCCGGCTACCCGCCAGCACCGTACCCTCCCGCGCCCGGCTATCCACCCCCTCCGGCCGGCTGCCCGCCTCCTCCCGCCGGTTATCCGCCTCCCCCGGGCTACTACCCTCCGCCGCCGGCAGGCTACTATCCGCCACCCCCGCACTACCATCGTGAGAGGCTTGCTTCCTGCGTTCACTCTTTTTTTTTTTAACACGATGTTGTTTGTGCGGTACATTAATATATATATTTCTTCGTTAACCAAACCTCTTGGCGCCCGTGTGACTGTGTTACATTGACAGATGGCGCGGTGGCTCATCACAGCCTCGGCCATGCCTTGGCGCATGGCGTAGCTCACACGATGCACCTCTTTGGAAAGAGGAAGCACAAAGGTCATTTCGGATGGGGGAAGCACAAGGGGTACCACCACCACCATCACCACCATGGTCACCACGGACATCATTACGGAAAGTGGAAGGTAAGGCTGTTTTTTGAGGCCCCTCAAAATGGGGGAACACAAGGGGTACCACCACCACCACTACAGCCACCACCATCATCATTACCACGGTCACCAGCGTTTAATGGCCTGCTGGGGTCGCTGTGTCAGCCCAGTCCATCCTTTACTTACCGTACACATTCCGGTATCCCCGTTCTTTGTTCCAATCGTTGCGCTGCGCGTTGCCCTTTCTTTTGGCAGTAACTATCAAGGACACAAGTGAAAAGAACATAACAGCTTGATGGGTACATGGCTGTGGTGGAAACAGCCTGCCTGTATCAAATTCCTCCCTCAAGTCTTCCCTTATGATCATGTACAGAAGTGTATGTACACACTCATTGATGTGCTGCAGATATTTCTGTCTGTATCAACTGCAAGGTGGCCACATTATCTATTCCGGTTCTCTGTATCGCCTTAACTCGCACCAAATGGGATGACAGTGCTCACTATGCAGAACCAGAGCCTTGCTCAGGGCAGCAGTCTCCAAAAGAATAAATGCAAGTTGATCAACAGCTGCAATAGCCAACATCTCAATAATGAAGTCATTACGAAACAGCCCTGGGTGCGCGTATTGTTGAGATAGCTAGGCAAGGTGAGTTGACTATCGAGAGAAATTTTACAAGTAGGAAAACCCTAAGGGGTTATCCCCTATAACATCTACCCCACTACAGCCTACCAATATGTATCACATATATATATCATTTGACACACCCCCATAGGCAAAGTGGGGGAGAGCAATGGGTCACAAGACCAGTCAAGAGAAACAAAACAAGCTCAGGGTGGATCACAACGTCACCACACATTCTGAGCACAAGCAAATGGCCACAAGGCCAGTTCACATGCAGAGATATATATGCAGCAATGACAGTACAGTGTCGAGCTACCTAGCAAGAGCCAGCATGCAGGTATATAGGTATATAGATCACAGTACAAGCAAAGACTACAGCAAGTGTGGAAGCATAGGCACAAGGCCTAACAGAGTACAAAAGCGCTGATGATCACCAGACGGAAGTGCCTTGGTGAATATATCAGCAGTGTTGGCCCGAGTGGCCACGTAACGAAGACAAAGCTGGCCTCGCTGCTGCAACTCTCGAGCCAGGAAGTAACGCAGAGCAATGTGCTTCGTTCTGTGTTCCAGTCTGTGCTCCTCACACAAGGCAATGGCGGCCTTGTTGTCAACGTACAGCACTGGAGGAGAACGAGGCTGCTCTCCCAAGTCAGTCAGCAGGTAGGTGAGCCAGCGTAACTCCTGTGCAGCCATGGCGGTGGCGTAGATCTCAGCCTCACAACTGGAGCCAAGAACTGAAGACGAGCGTGTAGAACGCCACGAAACTGAACCAGAGCCAAGGCTGAAGGTGTAACCCTGTGACGACCGCTGAGTAGCCAGGTCGTCAACCCAAGAAGCGTCTGAGTGCCCAATGAGGACAACTGGGCTCGTCCCTCCAAGCACTAGCCCCATGCCTGATGTGCTGCACAAGTAGCGCAGTACCCTCTTAGCAGCAGCCATGTGCTCAGGTCGGTGTCGACCAGGAGCCACGTAGCGAGCGAGGAGACCAAGAGGGTACGCGAGGTCAGGTCGAGTGCAAGTCATCAGGTACATGAGGCAGCCGACTAGCTCTGGGTAAGGACCACTCGGCTCTACGGACTCGTCCGAAGGTGGAGCTGAGAGCGTGTGACCTGTAGCCAGAGGAGTGGCCTGTGCTGAAGACCAGGTGAAGCCGAAGCGCTGAAGGACCTGCTGCACCATGTGTGACTGAGTCAAGGTGATGGTGCGGCGTGCTCTGTCCCGGGTGATCTGCAAGCCAAGGTAGCTGCGCAGCTCACCCAAGTCAGTGCACGTGTGTCTCTTCTGTAGCTCCGACTTCACGTGGGCGAGAGCCTCAGTGTCAGCAGTGGCAAAAACCAAGTCGTCGACGTACACGAGGATGTAGAACGGCGGCAGTGAAGTGTCTGTGCGCAGAAACAGCGACGGGTCAGCAGTAGAAGGCGCAAACCCAAGAGCCGCAAGTGTCGTCCTCAGTGTGTCGTGCCACTCACGTGGCGCCTGGCGGAGACCGTAGACCGGCCGTCGGAGGCTCCACTGGGTGCCAGGAGGGAACGACCCAGTGAAGCCCGGGGGGCGGCGCAGCCAGATCTCCTCGTGCAGGCTGCCCTGTAAGAAAGCAGTGCTGAAGTCAAGAGAGTGAAGCTCGTAGTCACGGTGAGCAGCAACGTGCAGCAGCACCCGAAGAGTGGTCATCTTCGGGGTGGGGGAGAAGGTCTGGAAGAAGTCAACTCCCTCTCGCTGACTGAAGCCTCGAGCCACGTAACGCGCCTTGAAGACAGGCGGAGAACCCGGCGGCCGCTTCACCCTGAAAATCCACATGCCACTGACGATGTTCGCCCCAGGTGGGGGAACCTCGTCGACATAGGTGCCTGTGGACTTCCAGGAAGCCATCTCTGCGTCCATGGCTGCCTGCCACTGAGAGGAGTAGGGACTCTCTATCGCCTCTGCGTAAGAGCGCGGAGTCGGGATGTCTGGTGCATCCGGGTCTCCCTCAGGGGCAAGTAGCGAGGACACAAGATGAGGTAAAGCAGCAGCAAGACACTGGAACTCCTCCTGCCTGTCCTCAAGGACGTCCGTGCTAAGAGCACACTCACCCCCGACGGACGGAGGACAGACAGACGCAGACGCAGCAACAAGACTGGCGGCGTAGTCTAGACGACAGGCAGCAGCAAAGTCAACAAGCTCAGCGACAAGAGCAGACGCAGCAGTAGACTCAAACGACGGGTCACTGACAACAGTGGCTAGCAGACGCGTGACAGTAGGGTGCTCAGCACGAAACCGGTCAGACTCAGGGTCTGGAACGTCAGGTAGAGAGGACGCAGGAGGAGACGGAAGAGGAACAGGCTGCAGAGCAGAGGAAGGACGACGAACTACGAGGTGTGTGCTGGGGACAGCCTGCTGACGCGAACGAGGAACACGACGACCGGGACGAGCAGGCGAGACAGGACGCGACACAGGCTCACGACGCTCAGCAGGACTACCAGTCTGCTCAGTGTAAGGAGAAGGAGCAGGCAGCGGTGAGCCAGGCTGTAACGGAAGACCAGTAGACGACGGGAGAGTAAGAACCTGACGAAGAACAGAGTCAGACGGCGGCAGAGACGACGGAGACGGCGGAGCGAAGAACAGTCGTGTCGGCGCAGCTGCATCAGTACCGGCAGCTCCAGCAGCTCCAGTACCCCCAGCAGCTCCAGTGCCTCCAGCAGCTCCAGAACCTCCAGCAGCTCCAGAAGCTCCAGTCCCAGAGTCGTCACCTCCAGTCCCAGGGTCTCCAGCCCCTGTGTCTCCAGCAGTAGCACCCCCAGAACCAGCACCCCCAGTCCCAGGGTCTCCAGCCTCAGTGTCACCAGCAGCAGCACCCCCAGAGCCAGCACCTCCAGTCCCAGGGTCTCCAGCCTCAGTGTCTCCAGTACGAGTACCTCCAGAACCAGCGACTCCAGCACCTCCAGTAGACAAAGGTCCAGCACCACTCCTAGCTCCAGCAGCGCGACGCTGACGGTGACCGTACCAGTCCTGGAGCTGCTGTGGGGTGAGAGGCACACGTGGACGAAGGCGGCTACTCCAAGGAGACCGCGCAACAGCAGACTCAGAACCCTCAGCGCCAGCACCCCCAGCTGCTCCAGAACCTCCAGCGCCAGCACCCCCAGGCTCCTCACGCGTAGGCTCAGTACTCGCAGACTCGGCACCCGCAAGCTCAGCACCTCCAGGCTCCTCACGCGCAGGCACAGCACCCTCAGACTCGACACCCCCAAGCTCAGCACCGCCAGGCTCCTCACGCACAGGCACGGCATCCCCAGACTCCGCACCCCCAGGCTCAGCACCCCCAGAGACAGCACCCCGAGCAGGACCACCTCCAGCAGGACCTGAGTCACCAGTGACCTCAACAGGCGCAGGTACCGGAGGGTCTACCTGAGAAACACCTGAAGGAGCAGGACCTGGCGCGGGGAGGGGGTCTACCTGGGGAGGACCTGGAGCGAGAAAGAGCGGCGGGGGGGGGCGAGAGACAGTGCGGTAGGGAAAGAGACGGTAGAAGGGAACAGACTCGTCAAAGGTGACGTCCTGAGACGCAAAGACACGGCGCGAGGTGGGGTCGTAAAACTGCCAGCCAGGCGCGTCAGGAGGAAAACCAAGGAAGACGCAGGGAATGGCACGAGCAGAGAGCTTGTCCGCGGTGAGATCGCGGACAAAGGCACGAGCACCCCAGACCCGGAAACGCGACGCATCGCCAACCTCCCCCGTCCACAGCAGTGTGGGCGAGGTCTCCGGCAAGGAGACACGGGGCCAGAGGTTGAGCTGATGCGCGGCGTACCGGACCGCGAACGGCCACAGAAAATGGGGAGCCGCCGCATGGATCATGGAGGTACGAGCGACCTCCATGACTAAGCCAATGCGGCGCTCAGCAACCCCATTCTGCTGCGGAGAGGCCGGAAGCGTGAACGACTGGGTGATGCCGTGCTCCGCACAGAAGGCTGCCAAGAGGTCAGAGGAGAACTCACCACCTCTGTCAGAGTGCAGACGCAGGACAGGAAAGTCCCGCTCGAACCGCTCGCGGAGCTGGAGACGCACAGCGCGGATCCAGGGGATCAAAACAGCAGGGACGTCTCCCTTGCTGCGCAAGGGGAAGACCGTGGTGTAACGCGTGAAGTCGTCGACAACCAGCAGAAAGTACCGCTCACGGCCCTGTCCCTGGACGCGGGCTGGGCCCCACACGTCCAGGTGAAGCGTCTGCAGGGGAGCCTCTGTGGGAGGAAACGAGGAGGAGTGAGGAGCGGCGCGCTGCCGCCCCTCGACGCAGGGAATGCAGGGCGGCGCAGGCGAGGGAGGGAGGGCAGGCAGAGACCTGGGAAGCCCAGAGACCAGAGAGCGAGAGTGCATGCTACGAAGGCGAGGCAGGGAGGGGTGACCAAGGCGGTGGTGCCACAGGAGCGTGTCGTGCGACAGGCGGCGGCACTCACACTGGGTAGCTACCTGAGCAGACGCGTACAGCTGTGGAGACAAAGGAGCGGAGCGTGAAACAGTGGTGAGGGTGTACAGACTGGACCCCGGCTCACGAGTGAACGTGGCCAGGTGGCGGCCAGTCTTGGAGCACGTACAGATCGCCACACGCTGCCCTCCAGGAGTCCAGGTGTCAACCCAGTGATCCTGGAGGACGGCGTTGCTCACCAGGTTCGTAGAGAACGAGGGAACGAGGAGACCTGACAGCTCACCAGACGGGACCGCCGGGCACGGGAGCACAGTCGTGCCGCGTGCAAGCACTGGGCCCCCAGAGGGGTCAGCCAGGGAGACAGGGACAGGTGCAGGGAGCGGAGTGACGGTGGTGCTATCACGAAAGAAACAGCGGGAAGCACCAGAGTCAAGTGTAAACGTGTGCAAGGCCTGAGCCGACTCAGTACCAAGGGGAGCAGACTCACTAGCACCTAGGGCTGCAGTCCTTATACCGGGGTCAGGCGGCACACACAAGTAGCAGTCACCCTCAGCACTAATAGTCAATGCATACATGGCAGCAAGAATAACATCATAGTCCAGATCAAAGATAGGCACATCACGCCTAAGCAGCTCTGCCCAGTTGGGGAACTCAGTAGCATCAGGATACTTAGTACGCCAGGCGTCACTAAGCCTAGCAAAACAACGATACTCAGTGTGAAAACCGTTGCAGGGGCGACCCTTGCGGGGGCCAGTACGAATGACATAGGGGCAGCGGTCAGAACCCCGAGACGCCCCACGCCCAGCATACCAGTCATTGAGCTGCTGGGAGGTGAGGGGAGGAAGCTGCTGCTGCTGCTGTGGCTGTTGCTGCTGCTGCTGCTGCTGGCCACCCTTCTGGCCAGATCCACCCCCACTCCCACCTCCACCGCCACTGCCGCTGCCTCCTCCCCCACCACCGCCGCCGCCGCCTCCACCGCTCCCGGTCCTGCCGCCACCCCACCCACCGCCTCCACCCCCACGGCCACCCCCACCACCTCCACCACCCCCGCCGCCTCCACCACCGCTCCCTCCACCGCCACCTCCGCCACCCCTGCCACCCTTGCCGCCCCTGCCACCACCACGCTTCCCACCAGGAGCGGAAGCCGCTGCGACCTTCTCCGCACCGAGGAAGTCAACAGCAGTAGCAGCAGAGGCGTAGGAGGGGTCAAGAGGGGAGGGGGAGCACCCCTCAAAGAGGGGAGTGCGGGGAGTGCCACGAGCAGCACCGACAGCGAGGATGTTCTTCTCTGCTGCGACCAGCTGCTGCTCGAAGTCGTCCAGAGTGATAGTTGGAGGATCCTTGGCAAGGAAGTAATCCCTGACAGAGCGAAGAGTGTCAGGGAGGCGGGTGACGAGGATGTAGAGGGTGAAGTACAGCGGGGGGGTGTTCGTGGCGAGGAACTCTTTGGTAAGAGCGGCTCGAAAGCGGGCGTCACTAGTGCGGAGGTGAGTGATAAGGTCGGCAGCAGTGTGAAACGAGGCTAAGTCTGGGAACAGGTAAGGCAGGATGAGACTACCAACGGTGGCTGTGGTCGGGGCGGAATAGCGGGCAACGACAGCATCATACAGCGTCTTAGCAGTCTTAAGCTGGTTGAAATGCGCGCGCTCAGAGATCGGTAGGTGATTGCGAATAACAAGGCGCGCGACAGCATCGCGGAGCTCCCACTGTGCTCGTTCAGGGGCAGGAGCAGTCTCAGCAGGAGTAGGGACAGTGCCGGTCACATAGGCTAGCAGGGACACTCCGTCTGCGACGTCAGTCATAAGGTAAAGGCGCAGGTCACTAAGCCAGGTGTCAAACTCGATGGGGCGGCCGTCAGGCTCAAAGGCGAGAACAGTAAGGGTCGCCATGGTTGTAGCGCAGGCAAAAGTAGCAGGCTCAGGCAGCAGGCTCAGGCAGCAGGCTCAGGTAGCAGGCTCAGGCAGCAGGCTCAGGCAGCAGGCTCAGGCAGCAGGCTCAGGCAGCAGGCTCAGGCAGCAGGCTCAGGCAGCAGGCAAAGACTGCAGGTTCAGGCAGCAGGCTCAGGCAGCAGGCAACTGTAGCAGGTAAGGAAGCACGCAGTTTTGTGACAGGCCGCGCGTAAGGCAGGTAAGCGCACGACTCACGGGCGGCTAAGCGCTCAGGTCGAGGCAGTGGCGCACAGGCAGGGCAGGGCACGCGCTGCTGCGGGCTGCGCGCGGCAGCGGGCTGCGCGCGGCTGCGGGCTGTGCGTGGCAGCTGGCTGTGCGCGGCGACGGGCTGCGTGCGGCTGCGGGCTGCGCGCGGCGACGGGCTGCGTGCGGCTGCGGGCTGCGCGCGGCGACGGGCTGCGCGTGGCTGCGGGCTGTACGCGGCGGCGGGTCGCACGTGGCGGCGGGCTGCGCGCGGTGACGAGCTGCGCGCGACAGCAGCGAGCACGCGGGCGGCTAAGGCAGCGGGGCGCGCTAAAAAAAAATGCACGCGCGCATGCAGCCGAGGCGCGCGCGGGCAGCAGGTAAGGTAGGTATAGCTGTAGGGAAAGTAACTCATGAGTAGGTGGGCCCCAATCTTAGGTCCTTAGGACCATTGCTCTAGATGCCATGTTGAGATAGCTAGGCAAGGTGAGTTGACTATCGAGAGAAATTTTACAAGTAGGAAAACCCTAAGGGGTTATCCCCTATAACATCTACCCCACTACAGCCTACCAATATGTATCACATATATATATCATTTGACACGTATGACGATATAACTGCAACGATGCTGGTGAGTGGGCATGGGCCACCACACCAGTGTCACTCTGATCTACGCGTGTGCAAGGTGTCGTGGTGTGTGGGGAGGAGCGGGGTGTGAGGCCGCTTGCGGCAGCGGTAGCAGCGACACATAATGATGAGAATTAGGCCCACCCACAGCAGTGGCACAGACCACCTGATGTGGATCGTGGGAGGGAGAAGCAGACAGCAAGAGTAGAAAGAAAGAAATGAGACGGCAGGCTGGACGACGAACATTGCTGTCGCTTGTACGGTAGTTGTGGTGACAGTGACAATGTATGATGCCCACCCGCAGCAGTGGCACAGACCACCTGATGTGGATAATGGGAGGGAGACGCAGAGACACCGGGGCGAGTAACAATAAAGAGATAAAACCGCACGCTGATCACCCAGCTTTTTTTGTTCCACTGGCACATGATGAAATGAGTAAGGTTCACCCATAGCAGCGGCCCAGACTGCCTGATGTGGACAATGTGGACCATGCCTAACAGGAATGCACAGCTACATTGAGCAGGACACACAGGTCTTAAAGCCTGACTGGAACTTAAAGGTCGAGGTCGATGAAGGGGTTGTGCACAACGGGCGTCCCAGACGTTGATAAGTGAGGATGAGAAAGCAGGCAACACCCAGAGCCTAATAGGAACGCACAGGTCGAGGTCGATGAAAGACCGTACACGGCCTCCCAGATGTTGACAAAGGTGCGCCCGGCCCAATCAGCAACACACAGCCAACGAAAAACAGGAACAAACGGGTTTTGGAGGAACTCACAGGTCGAGGTCTATGAAGGGGTTGTAGACGACGGCCTCCCAGACGTTGACAAAGGTGCGCCAGGCGGGGTTGAGGTAGAGCGAGTCAAAGGACCAGAAGATGCGCGTGTAGGTCTCCAGGAACACAAACAGCGCCCAGGCGAGCACCTCCACCACCACCCACTTCACCATGAAGCGACCGACCACGACAAGCACGAGCGAGCCGATGACCAGCCAGTTGAAGAGCCGCTGATTGTACTCCTTGAGGAACTGGGAGCGCTCTCGAGTCCATGTCTACTTAGTGTGGGAAGGGGAGTGTGAGAAAGGGGGTTTCGGGAAGAAGGCGCGGAAAGGAGAAAGGGCCAGTGGACAAAGAGTGTGATAAGAAGAAGGCCAGTTGAAGAGACGCCGGTTGTACTTTTAAAGGAACTGGGAGCGCTCCCGAGTCCACATTTGGTGAAAGGGAGGGAGCGGGGGTGGTTGTGTCGGGGAAAGGACATTGGAAAAGAGGCTGTGCGGAGAGGGTGTGCTAGTGAGTAGGTCAGTTGAAAAGAAGCTGGTTGGTGGTACTTCTTGGGAGCTGAAACCGATCTCGATTCCACGTCTGGTGAGAAGCAGCAACGGAGAAAAGTAGGCTTGGAATTCAAAGGGAAATAAGGTGGGGAGTGGCCACTTCCCATACAAGCACCTCCACCACCACCCACTTCACCACGAAGGGAACCACGATGACAAGCAAAATGCTGCCAAGCCTTTGACTACATGGCATGCCACTTTACCCCCTGTTTTCACCCTCTTCCAGCCACCTCACCTTCTTCAACCGGTCTCGGTAAGCCGACTTGCTTGGCCCACGACAAGCATTTTCCACGGTGTGGTTGCATGCGTCCAGGCGGGCATCGAACTTGGCCACCGATGGCAGGCGCATGTTGGCCAGAGCGTCTAACTCCTCCTCACACCCCCTGTGCGCGCCCTCACACGCCTTGGCTGACGCAAACTCGTTCTCCCGCTTCAGCTTCACCAGCTCCTGTGGGGGAGAGAGGGAGGGGAGTGATGATGACAACAGGGTGACTGGGATGATTGCACGGTGTTTTTGAAAGTTCTACAACACACCATGCACATGGATGCACAGACAAACACGCGCGCGCACGCACACACACACACACACACACACACACGCACACACGCACACACACACACACACACACACACACGCACACACACACACACTCACATACTCACACAAACACACCTCTCTCAGCTCATCCTTCAGAGGACGGACAGCATCCTCCACGCTCTTCCCTCCAAACCTCTCCCTCTCAAACGACGCTACAGCTTCCCCACTGGCATTCCTATGAGCCGCCATCAGCACTGCCTCCTCGGCTGGCAGGAGCAGGCGGCGCATGGCTTCATGGTAGATCGCGAGGCACTTGTCCTGCACTGCCCGGTTGAATGCATCGACAACGGAGCCGGCTGTTGGGATGTGTCCCTTGTTCAGCGCGTTTAGTGTCTGGGGAACAGGGGTAAGGTGGGGGGGAGGAGGGGCAGGAAGAAGGAGGAGCAGAAGTTGAGAGCTAAGAACGAGGGGAGGAAGTGAGCAGGAGTTGAATGGAAGGGAGAAATGAGGGAAACAGGCGGCGAACCGCGTCGTGGCATAGCGCGACGCGAGGCACTTGTCCTGTCCCGTTTGAATGCATTTGAAAAAGGATGTGCCAGGGTGCGTCTGAAAAGGTCGAGCCAGCTGTGGAAAGAACGTGGCCTTGATAAGGGCCACATGCTCAATGTTGGAGTCACTTACAGCATACCCACAACAACGGTCTCCGTACACCACCAAGTCTCGGCCCGGCTTCACTATCAGATCAACGAATTCTTCCCTGCTGGCCATCTCACCTTCTCTAGAAGGTCAGCAAATTCCTCCCCAGTGACTGGCTTTCCCGACACAATCTTGGGCTGCACCAGCGACGCCACCAGCTGCCGCAGCTGGTTGCGCTGGCGCACATATTTAGGATCCAGGTCCTCGTCTGATAACTCACACAGCCGCGTCCGTGCCAGGTGCGGCTGGTAGGAGGTGGGGCAATTGGGGGATTGAGGGCAGACATGGCAACACTTGAGGCAGCTGGTTGCGCTGGCGCACGTACTTGGGGTCTAGCTCTTCAACTGACAGCTCGCATAAACGTGTTCTCGCCAGGTGCGGCTAGTGGAACAGGGGGGTGGGGGAGGGAATGGTAGCATCTGAATCAGTGGGTTGCGCTGGCGCACGTACTTGGGATCCAGCTCGTCATTTGACAGCTCACACAGCCGCGTTCTTTCCAGGTGTGGCTGGTGGTAGGGAGGGGGTTGGATGAGGGAAAGGTAAAGTGGAAGGGCAGCAGTTACGACAGCTGGTTGCGCTGGCGCACGGACTTGGGGTCTAGCTCGTCATCTGACAGCTTGCACAACCGCGTTCTTTCCAGGTGTGGCCGGTGGGAGGCAGAAGGGAGGGAAGATTGGAGGGACAAAAGATCAGGACAGCAGCCACGACAGCTGGCGCACGTACTTGGGATCCAGCTCGTCATCTGACAGCTCGCTGAGATGAACTGGGAAAAGACAAACAAGCCCACCTGGGTCAATCCGAAGGCGGTGCTGTTGGCGGCCATGAGGTTGAGCGACTGGCGGATGAGGTTTACTTGATCCACGTCCTTGTCTCCCTCTGGGTTCAAACGAGGGACACACAAAGAGGCATACTGGGGCAGGCAGGCTTTCCCAGGGAAGCAGTGGAAGCTCACCTGAGTGAGCCCGAAAGCAGTGCTGTTGGCGGCCATGAGGTTGAGCGACTGGCGGATGAGGTTCACTTGATCCACGTCCTTGTCTCCCTCTGGGTTCGGCACGGGTTGCAGTGCCCCTCGCACCATCTCCTGCACTGTCTTGCCCTCTGTGGGTGGGGGGGAGGAGAAAAGGATAAGAGATGCATGCCAGCAACAGACGTACCTAGGAAGGCGAGATGGATGGGCCAAAGGCAAAGAGGGGTGCAGCCAACTACCCGAAAGGCAAGGAGCGACAGGACGAGAGGCAACGACGGCAAACACACATGCGCGAGCGAGCAAAAGAGCGAGCGTGCACACGCACGCACGCACGCACGCACGCACGCACGCACGCACGCACGCACGCACGCACGCACGCACGCACGCACACACACACACACACACACCCACACACACACACACACACACACGCACACACACACACACACGCACGCACACACACACACGCACACACACACACACACACACACGCACACGCACACACACACACACACCCCCCCCCTAGAAAGTCGCGTTGGATGAGCCATAGCAGCTTGGCTGGTGTGCTTTGAGTCGACTCACAACCGCCCCCACCCCACCCCTTCCCCCAGCCCACAACCTCCCCCCCCCCCCCCCACACACACAATTGTGCACGCACGCACCTAGGAAGTCTCGTTGGATGAGCCATAGCAGCTTCGCTGGTGTGTTTTGAGTCAACTCAGAACAACCCCCCCCCCCCCCACACACATGTGCACGCACCTAGGAAGTCTCGTTGAATGAGCCATAGCAGCTTCGCCGGTGTGAACACCTCATCCCGACCCTGCGGACACACAGGGAGGCGCACAAGTGAGGTTGGGAAAAAACGAGAGTCAGGAAAAAAGCCGTTACTTATGATATCAAACGAAAAAATCAACGAAACATACGAAACATGGGAAGAGTTTCAGGGAAAATATAAGGCACTGGGTGGATGGATGGGCGACCAGAACTCGGGAGAATGTGTGGGGAGAGGAGGGGGGAAGGGTTGAGGAGACAGGGGGAGAGGAGAATAGGGAGAGGGAACGTGGGTAGATGGGGAGCGGGGGGAGAGGGGGAGTAGCGGGAGATAAAAAGCGTAAGAAGGTAAAGGGAGGGAATATTTCTTTTAGATCAGCAACCTCATCAGCTTACGAAGGAAAAGGGAGGGGGTGGAATTTGGATTATGGGGAGCACTGGGTTGGGTATAGCAAGCAAGAAAGAGGGCAGGCAGCGAAGGAGTAGGTTGGGCAGGGGTGGGGGCTGGTGGGGGAAGAGATTTTTACGGTGCAATGCAGCGAAACAAAAAAGGCTGCTCTCCTCTCCCCCCTTCCACCTTTCTTCCACCTTTCTTCCACCTTTCTTCCACCTTTCTTCCACCTTTCTTCCACCTTTCTTCCACCTTTCTTCCACCTTTCTTCCACCTTTCTTCC